TTTTAAAATCAATAAATACAATAAACGTTGAAAAAATCATAAACCAACTCTAGAAAACCTCCAATGAATAAAATCACTTGCATTTCAACTCAAAAAATCAAGATCTAGTATTTATCAAAAATTTCAAACCTTCCAAAATTCAATTCAAATCAAAAAAAGCCAACTTTTTGGTCAAACATAGCGTCAAAACAGTTCAAAATTTTCAAACCTTCCGTAATTAAAATGTTAGAAAATAATTTACCCTACACCTATCTAATTGATCGTTATTAAAGTCTAGTTATTTTTAATTAAAATATTAAACTTCTGAGAAAACACTCATAATTGAAAAGTTAATTTTTAACCCCTTGATTAAATATTAGAATAATCCAGAGATTCTAAAAACTCAAAATCACTCTTAAAACCACAAAATCATTAATCAAATCTTAAAATCAATTTCCAAACTCATTAATACTTAAAATTCAATTTAAATCTTCCCTCCAGACTTTCAACCACCAGAAACTCAAAACAACTTTAATAATTTGCCCTTCTTTGGACATAGTCCAAAATCACACGGCCTATATCACACACTTTTAGCTGGTGATAAGGACAACCAACTCTTTTTTAGGAAGCCGGTTGCTTTATTTTCTGTTGGTGTCCGGGTTTTGAGCTTTCCAACTGCATGCTGGTTGTAGCTTAGAATTGATTTGGAATGTCTGGTTTATTTATTATACTGCACCTGTTGAGCATTTAAATGTTAAAAATAACTGCTTGAGAATGAATATCGAACTGCTTGAGATTGAATATTAACCTTCTTGAGATTATTTATAACTGCAAAATTATTAGGATAACCCTGAGGATCGAGTCTAGACTTTTCAATTTGCTTAATGTTAATTTTGATATAATTTGGAGTTATTTAAAGTGACTAGTGGGGTTAGATCCAACTTGAATTCCCAAAGAAGAGAAGCATCCCTACCTAAAGGGGAGAGTTTTCGTTCCATTTGGAAGATCAGGTTTGATTTTGCTCTTCAAATATCCAAAGAGGAAAGATAACACCCATTCAAGGGAGTTTCTTTTAATTGTCATTCCAGAAACCGACGATCAAGGATGTCTGTGAGAAGACGAAAGAAAAATGGACGACGAGAAGAAATCCCAAATCTCAAAGTCACTTTGAGTCCCTAGGTTTAGAACACCCCAAGGTGTTGTCAGTGTTGACCCGGCCACTTACTTTCAGACAGACCTGGTTTGTAATAAGCAAGGCAAACTTTGCCTATAGACTTTTCAATTTGAGTATAATTTAATTAATTTGATTTTTGATGTTTTGATGGATTGCGATTAGGATGGCCTATTTTTTATAGTTTTTTGGGCGATTCTTGCATGCGATTTTGATTTAGGCCTGGAACCGATCGTAGGCTCTTAAGGACTCGATAAGATTTTTCTACTAAACAAAAATTTTAAAAACTTTAAGCCTCAATAACAACTATAAACGAATTTAAGAAGTAAGCCCGGAATCGCCGGGGAGTTCGCATTGCAATAATTCGTTGCATTTTTCTTCCTTTGCTAGGCACCTCTCCGCCTACGGTTTTGGCAAGGACCACCTTGCCTTATTGATGGTGCAGATCGTCCAAAAGGGGATTCTGTGCGTCTCTAGGAAAAATCCATTTTTAAGCATTTTTTTAAAAATTGCTCATATTTGATTAACATTTAATTTGAGTCGGTTTCATTCATTGCATTAATATCAACTTAAAAATCTCTAAACTTTAAATTGTATTTTTAGAGCTTAATTTCAAACAATCCCAAACAAATTAAGGAGGTCAATAAGGATCTAGCTCTAGATGTCGACCTCATTCTTTAAATTTCTTAAATAATGTCCATACCACGTCAACATTAAAAAGGACCGGATACATTATTATTAAATCGTTTAGTGGTTAGCTGGCTCCCCAATCCAGGCCGGTAAGACCAGATTGCACTACATTAGCTAGGTTCGGGGCACTTTAAATGCCCAAATTTTAGACTTAGGTTCTGAGGCAAGATGGCTATAAACCCAACCATCCGGGAATTGAGTCCCAATTTTTCTAATAAAATTGACCATTTAACTAAAAATATCTTTCAATCAAATTCAAGCCTAAAACACGTCAGGTAGGTTGAGCATTTCTGAAGTAATTTAGAATCCTAAAACACCTCCTACCTTCTCTCCTTTGATTAAGAAATAAAGTGTTCAACCTTGATCCAATCCCGATTTGAAAATCCAACCCTTAACCTCCTTTGATATCCATCTTTGAAAATCAAATAAAATTTCTAACGCTAATTTTAATCCGAGGTAATTCGTAGGAAAATTCTAATTTTCCTATGATGTAATTAACTACAGGGCTTGCGCTCGTAGACGATTTAGAACACGCAGACCGATTTTCAAAATAATTTTCATAAAAACCTCAATTAATTCTTCTTTGCGGAAAATCCAAACCCGGCTGATCATTATCATCTTCTTTCAGACGATCGATAATGATTGATATCTTCTTCTTCAGACGATATACCAATATTATCGTGTTTGATTAAAAAAATTAATGATCTTAATTCAATTAGCATAGTCAAATAATTGATTAAATTCCATTTTGACCTCCGGGTTCAAATGATTCTTCCTTTTGAGTTTGACTACGATAACCGGATAAAAATTAGAATTCTGAAATTTGAACCTATTTAGGGAACATATGATCGTTTCTTTCGAGGCGATATATTGTTCATAATGACGTGTCAATCAAAATTTAAAAGTTAATATTTCCCAAAGAAAATAATACTTTTTCAAAAAACAACTTAATATTTTTCAATTAAAACACCAGGCCAAAAACGTCATAACATAATCGCGAATCATCTAAATGTAATTTAGGGCAATCAAAACATTAAAACAAGTACAGCCTCAACGATTTACATTGAGGACCTGAAAACGAGAAAAAAACAAAGCTTCATTTGCCTTCTTTTTTCATCAATTTCAACAATGGATTAAAATGCGGAGCTGAAACGAGAAAAATCAAATCGCATACAAAGGGAAAATAATGAAATGAGTATTATGCGAACTGAAAACCAAGGAAAATTCCAAAGCCGCATACAAAGATTTAATGAAATTCGAGAGGAACTACGCCGGCTGTAACACGCATTGCATGTCCAAATTGGAGAATGTGTCCGAACAAAATTGAAGCATTTCTAGTATGCCTACCATTCTGGCGCATTTGATGCTTCTAATTTTTTAAAAACTACTCGTCATTTAAATGTCACATTAAAAATAAGCTTGTTTCGAAAAATTTGGCCATTATTGAGGTTTAAATAAATTCCATAAGGCCTCATTTTGCTGCTTCAGACAGAAAAACATACTTTTTTGCAAAAATATTAAATTATAGATTTTATCATTGATTGGAATTTTCTTAAAATTAACTGGATTTTAAAAGCTTAAAACCAATTTAAAACTCTCAATTATATATAATATAATATATATATATATATATATATATATATATAATATTATATATATATATATATCAGTAGCCATCTAATGAATCCTAATATAATTCAAAGACTGCCTATGTTTACCGTTAAACGGAGAAGACTGAAGGGCCGATTTAAGACCATGTATCGGAAATGGAATTCAAACCCAATGGACGCGCTTTATGCTTTCCCATCACATTCCACCGACTAAGGTCGCTGTCACATTGAAAACGACACCGCTGTGTCGGTTGTAGATGCAGAAAGGAAGAAGCCATTGGGTCATCCTGATTCGTTCGAAGAGAGCTTTCACAAATAATTAAGAGATTTTTGGTTTAATTTTTCCATATATGATGTGCATAAATTTATCTTCAATTGATTTAAAATCTTCAATTATTATTATTATTTTGATTTAGGTAAATAATCCCACTACGTGGGGTCGGCTACATGAATCCTTTTTCATCATTGTGTTCGGTTAAAAGTCAAATTCTCATTTAAATCTAATAAATACATATCATTTCTAATATTATCTAACCAAGTCTTTTTAGGTCTACTTCTACCTTTCTTAACATAAGCCAAATCTAATACATGAACTTTCCTAACCGGGTCATCGGAAGGCCTCCGTTTAATGTGACCAAACCATCTAAGGCGTCTCTCTCTAATCTTATCTTCCACTGGAGCTAGATTTAAATGAGAGGTAAACAAATTTAACGAATTAAAAATACTTTAGAAAGGGGACAACCAAATTTAACGATTTCTTTGTGGAGTGTAAATAAATCGAGCCGAGCCGATCGAGCATGTGCTTGTTCATGTTTATGTTCATTAAAATTCAGCTTGTCCATGTTCATTCGACCACGATTCTAGCTTTCATGTTTGTGTTCAAGTTTGATTCGCTTAAGTTGATAGATATTCATGTTTGATATATATATTCGATTCATTTCATGCTTATCGATGTTTAAACAAACATGTTCGCAAACGAGCTTTATCTAGCCTTTTAACAAACATGTTCACGAATATTTCTAGCAATTATTTCGAACTACTAAATGAGCATGTTCATGAACATATATAATGAATGTTTTTGAACTATCAAACGAGCTTATTCATGAACATATTTAGTAAGGATTTTCAGACTATCAAATAAGTTTGTAAATGAACATATCTAACGCGTGTTTCTGAGACGCCAAATGAATTCGTTCACAAAAGTTTGTTTAAGAACAACTTATTATTATATTTTTAAATTATAATAAACATAAAATATTTATATTAGATTTTCATATTGAATATGAATCGATCTGCTAATGAGCATCTTATTGAGATTCATAGCGAGTATGTTCATGAAATTCATATGATATATTACATATAATTATTCAAACTTATTTATTAAATCATCAAATATTTAAATTTATTTGATTATTTAAGTTTTATTTAGAACTATTTTCATGTTGCTTCTTAAATCAGATTTTTTTTTTTTTTTTGGGAAAATTTAAATCAGATTTATGATAGGAACTTTTTAATTTTGTACTGAAAAACTGAAAGCCTTCCCAAGCCAAGAATTAAACAATCAGCAACGCGGTTCGTTGACAGCCTATCCGTGGCATTCATAACCCGAACTCGTAATTTTTGCTCTGAGGAAGCTCCCCTGTCGTCCTCTTTCTCCCTCCTTTTTCCAAATTCTATCAGCGTCGCGTAGATCTGGCGAACGATTTCGGGTTGGGGATCCTAATTGGCTGAAAGTTAGGGTTTTTGGATGCTCCTGGAATCGTCTAGCGAAATTTTAATTTCTTTTTCTTGTCCTGATAGGGTCGGTTTATCGGTTTGGGACGGTTTATAGATAGATCCTGGTCGGAGATGCAAACGGAGAGGGATGTGAGGGATTCGTACACTCTGTTGGATGGATTAGTCGATGTACCAGTGCCTCGCTCGAGGGCGAGCGAGATGAATGGATACGCAACTATTCCGATCTCTTCTTCTACATCGGTTTCGTCTTCCTCTTCGTTAGCTCCTGTTGGTGCAAATTTCATCGAGCACCGCGTTTCCAAGATGGACACACTCGCTGGTGTCGCAATTAAGTACGGAGTTGAGGTAATGTGGAAAATAATTCTTGTGTCCTGCTGCTTTCGTGTTAGTTCTTATAGCTTGATTGGTTTTAGTATGTAAGATTATGATTCTGGTCTAAGATTTGCATTTACTTGTGGTAATAGTGCCAAACTAAGTGTGTACTAGTTTCAAAACTCATGATTTGGTTGTTTGTTTATGCGCAAATTTTTACTTTTTTGGGAAGGAGTTGATACTAAACTTAATATGTAATGGTTTTCGTGTAAGAATTAGTCTGTTTTGAATAAATTGTCACCAAGCGGCCAGCACCAAGTAGTGGTCTTTTTTTTAATCAAAACTTGTCTTTTAACTGGCATTTCTTATGGGAGATGCTTGATTGAAGTTTCCTTTTATCTTTCAGATTGCAGATATCAAAAGAATGAACGGCTTGGTTACTGATCTTCAGATGTTTGCTCGCAAGTCTTTGCAGATTCCATTGCCGGGTAGACATCCCCCTTCCCCGGTTATGTCAAATGGGTCAACTCATAAAGGGTACTTTGATTCTCCAGTTATTGCATGCATTTTAAGTATTGATTGTTGATCTGTTTTGTTAGGATTCCTTATAATTGTGTGTGGTTTTTAATTCTATTGTTAGGTAACTAAAAATGCATTTTGCTTCATGACAGGGTTATTCACTATTTCAGGTTTCTTTTATGTGTTTTTCTGATCCGTCCTGGTTATATTTTAGCAAGAGAGTATTTAGGGTATGCTTAACATATTCTGTTTATCAAAACAGTCACATGTTAACTGTATCATCGGCAATGATTATGAATTATGTGTTGTCATGATTAGTTTTGGATTCTGTTTTGTTCGGTGGATGGTGTTGGGCTATAGTTGTCGTTACGCGAGAGCTGAGAGCCGTTAGGGAGAATATAATAAAGTTTGAGTATGAGGAGGTGAAAGAGAAGATGTGTTCAAGAGATGCATAAACTCAAGACAAAAATCTTTATTATCCAAGCCAGAAGTATAATAATAGGGAAAATGTTAGCTCTGGATAGTGGAGTAATGCGATGCTTTAGAGGTATTTCTTTAATAATTACATCCATTTATCCTTCCTCTCTCTCTCTCTCTATATATATATATATGAACTCTTCTTAAAGAGATATTTAGAGTTCTGTCACTTCTGTCAATCTCTCTTTTCTTTTTCCCACCCGAAGGAACCTTTCCCGGGAACCTCCTTCTTCCTTCCCTCATCCCCCTTTTATAGGGTTCAGAAGGAAGCAGGAGTCAATTCCTAGCATGTAGTTGTCCCATTAATCTGTAGTAGTACGATATAGATGATGAGTCAGCGACAACTGGAGAAGTCGAGCTGGATGATGATCAGTAGTTGTCCCGCCGAGACGGAGGGGGCAAGTGTTATCCAACTATTGCAAATGGAGGTGACAGAGTCATCTGATCGCCCTGTTGAGGTGGAAGGGCAAGTAACATGTGATTGTGGTCTTCTATCTTCTATGAGAGGGAGGTCTTCGAGCGAGATAATGTATATTGGTAGCTCCTGGATGTATTAAGCATGAGAATATTTATTTTGGCTTAGAAAGATAAATAATTGTTTGGTTGAGATTAGAACTTATGAGGTCGCCCTTCCTCGGGGGAGGCACTGCATGGAGTTGTGACCAATCTAGATCCGCTAGTCTCTAATGTGAAGCTACTTCCAACTCTTGAGCGAGTCTCTCGAGCTGGTAGTCCCGAGAGCGGCATGCATCCTTCTTTCACTTGACCCGAATGTAACCTGTAAGACACTTGCGAACGAGTACTTGCACAAGTATTATTGGGTGTACAATTAGTGACCTCATCATTTTATGTTTATGTTTTTTGCCTCAGTAAAAGGAGCAAAAATAAAGCTTATATGTATGGTATCAGATACTGTCGTTCTTCAAGTATTCCCTGTTTCTTATAACAATTAGCATATAAAAAGAATATGTGAATGCAGTGAAATGTGATTTCATTGTAATAATATCTGGATAAGTATTAAATATAGATCGATATGGCATTTTATGCACTCTTATTGTGTAATTATTATTATTTTTTCATTATATTCTTGGATAAAATATTCTTGCACATATGTAATTAAATTGTGTATATTTATGAGCTTGTAAAATGGTTGTCATTGTATTTGCATGGAGATAAATATGCTTGTACATACATATCTATGTGATGTTTTTTCAGGTAAATGCATTTATTATGTGTGTATTTATTAACACACAAATCCATGCATGCATTTATATGTATTTTCCAAATTGCCCTTCTTTTCAAGGATGCTTTATGAGGATTTTACATCCTTTGCTCATCATATCTTGTTTTTATACTTGGGTATTGAATGCCTATTCTAGAATCACAAAATCTAGTAATAAGCAATGCACTCTAAGATTAGAGAAACATGGTACACCTATGGAACAAAGTTATCATAATTAAGGGTAGATTAAGCTCAGTGATTGATAACTAATAACAACAAATTTGTCAGCAATATATGATTCAACCAAACATCCATTAAGAATAATACTAAGAGTGGTAAGAGAATTATATGCAAAGATCACGAGCTACCTTGTGTTAGATCTTTCTAACAAAAGCACAATCTCATATAAAATAAGGTACCATTCGAGGCTTTAAAGATATGATGGAAATTCAAAGGGATAACCATCTTGGCAACATAAATATATTCATGAGATGGGCAGAGAATTTATGTGAATAGTGTGTATAAAGAGTGATTCTAAGACTTGATTTCCTCAAAAAAGATGATCATAAATGAGCTTGATAGAAGTACCACACAAAAATAACAGGTGGTAATGATCTTCATAAACTGCTCAACATAATAAAAGAATGTGATAGATCAAAATACATATAGAAATCAACATATCATTTGTATACAATTTGCCACGCATCTCTATGTAGGATCGTGGTTAAGTAATCTTGTGTGCTTATGATGATGACTTCTTCCTTCAAAAGCAAATGCGAAGTTGATCATCAAATAATATGGTTGTTCTATTAAATAATGTTTCTTTAATAGTATTTTTTGGTATATTATTTTTATTCTATAGCAAGAAGGCCACCTAGTTTTACGAAATCATCTAAAGAATAAATGCCTGTTAAATTGGCGTGCTGCTCATTTGTTGAGCCCTATTTGTGTAATAGACCTATTCAGTAAATGTAATAGTAGCAGTTTTTCTAGGTGGTATAGAATTTTTATGTCTTTTTTGTAGTGCCTCTTTTTAAAGCATTGTAGCCTTAAAATAGTTGGCAAAGTAGGAAAGGTGAAAGGGGCTCACCTAAGATTCCTAATAACTAAGCTAATGCACATAATTGTTTTTGGAGCGTCTTATACTAGTGCCTGGGGCACTTAGATGAGCGCTGCAATAAGAATAGTTGAAAGAATGAAATTTCGTATTATGCCAGAAATCATATTTATACTCTTATGATGGCTTCTGGTTAATACATTCTATAATCATTAACCTTCCAAATTGAATTTTTATAAATAACTTCTTAGCAGGGAACCATCCAAATTGAATTTTATAAATAACTCCTTTAGCTTCTAAATTAATTCATTAACTTGTGTAATTGTATTTTATCATCTTGTTAGCCAGAGAACTCCAAATATAAGTTTTGCTATAAAATAGAGGAAACTTCTTGGCTTTTTATGAAAGCATCACTTGTACTAATTTGGAAACTATTATTTTTATCTGGTAAGTGTAAGAAGACATATATTCTAGTAATTTTTAATTGTAAAAAATCTTGATGCACATATGAATTTTACGCATATCACAATTTTTGTGCAATGAGTGACCATATTTGATCTATATATATTGGATTTCTAATGAAATTTTATCCATAAATAACATTTTTTTAATTGAATTTGTACATGGTGTAGACTCTAGACACGGGATGAGTAACTTGTAGGCCCATCCTAAACATATCTTGTGTTTAGATAAAATTTCTAGTTTGAAGCTAGAAATTGACCTTTTTGGTTTTTAGCTTTTCATAAAAGGTCCAATTTTTCTTGATCTGAATTGAAAAAAACTTGGGTCTGCTTTAATTGGGTCAGGCCAAGGAAAAAATATTTCAAGAAACCTATTATCAGGCCTGAACTACCAGACTGATTTTTATGATGATAAGACTTTGGCGAGTTTGAATACCTTTAATCCAATATGATCACAACAACAACAACATCAACATGAAGCCTTTATCCAACTACGTAACTTTTTCTTTATTGTGTCATGTTAAGAGTCAAATTCTCATTCAAATATAAAATTTTTACTATTTTCTAAGCAAATTTTTTTAGGTTTACCTCTACCTTTCTTAACATAGATCAAATCTAACACATCTACTCTCCTAACTGGATCATTGGAAGTCTGACGTTTTATGTGACCAACAATCTAAGGCAACTTTTTCTAATCTTATCTGCCACTGGAGCTACTCCAACCTTTTTAGATGTATATACTCGTTTTGTATTCTGTCTCTAAGAGTGAACCCACTCATCCACCTGAACATCCTCATCTCTGTAACAGCCAACTTCGTTTTATGCTTCTCTGTTAATGACCAATATTTTGTGCTATAAAGCATTGCAGGTCTCACCACCATCTTATAGAATTTTCCCTTAAGTTTGATGGCTACTTTTCTATCACACAACAAGCTCGGTGTATTCCTCCACTTCTACTATCCAACTTGAATTCTATTAATAATATCCCCATCTATTACTTTGAACAATAGACCCAAGATCTAAAATATGCACTCTTATTAATGACTTGATCGCCCAAAGTCACTCTTCCCCCACTAGATCTATTACTACTAAAATTATATTCCATGTATTTGGTTTTAGATCTACTCAAACAAAAACCTTTAGACTCTAAGGTTGACATTCATAGTTCATGTTTATCTTTTTTTTTTTTTTTGAAACTTGCAAATTGCATTAATCAAAAGGCCTAATACAAACTGCTAGAAAGAAGAAATTCTACCACATTCCTCCTTTAACAATGAAATAAAAGGAGAGTTATTATTACAACTAATATCATCCCAAACGAAATTAGAAAAAAATAGCAAAATAAGCACTCAAATCGGCTAATTTTAATAAAATGAAATAAAACTTGCTGAAATTCCTTTAAGAAAGATAAATCTTCCTTCCAATTATTATCAATTGTCACTATGCCTTTTCCGACAGAACCGAATCTTGATAATATTAGAATTATCACTTTTAATAATAACTCCTTTAGCTTCATACATCCACTTTTGCATTACTTTCTTCAATGAATTAATTGCCAATAATTCCAACTACGCAATGTCCCAATGTATGCAAGAAAAACCAAATGCCAGCAAGAATATTCCTTTATAATCTATGACAATACCTCCAATCCCTCCTTTGTTCGATCTCAATAAAGCAGCATCAATGTTGATTTTAATCCATCCGGGAGGAGGGTGCCAAAAGTTTTTAAACAACAATAAATGTTGATTAGCACCCCAGTTGTCCCAAAAGGAATTAATGTGAGAAAAGATAGCATAACTAA